GTTTGCTATATTTTTAGGACCTTGAGATGCATTGTTTGATCATTTATTTGATGCTTTCCAATTTCTTGACATAGGCATTAATTGCTATAAACTCCCCTTTAATGCTGCTTTTGCTGCATCACATATGTTTTGATATGTTGTGCTGTTATCTTCATCCATTTCCAGGAATGTTTCATTTCCATTTTGATTTCTTCTAGAACCCATTGTTCATTCAAGAGCATGTTATTTAGTCTCCACGTGTTTACACACATTTTCTAGAGTTCATTAAGTTGTTAATTTTTCAGCTTCATTCCATTGTTAATCTACACAATGGACCAAATGAATCTAATTGATATGTTCAGAACCATTCTTCTCACAGTTACAGAATATACATTCTTTTCTTTGGTGCATGGAACTTTCTCTAGTATAGACCATATGTAGGGCTACAAAGTAAGTCTCAACAAATTTTTAAAAATTGAAATCATACCATGTGTATTTGTTGATTTTTAGTCTAGTTGAGCTATCTATTGATGAAACTTGGGTGTAGAACTCTCCCATTATTATTGTATTGGAGTCTATGTCTCCCTTTAGATGCATTAACACTTGTTTCAAATACGTTAGTGGCCTGGAATTGAGTGTATATACATTTACTATAATCACATCTTCCTGTTATATCAATCATTACACGTCTTTGTCTCTTTTAATAGTTTTTGTGTTTAAGTCTATTTTGTCTGATATTAGGATGGCTACTCCTGCTTGTTTCTCCTTTCTATTAGCATGGAATATCTTTTTCCATTCTTCCACTTTCAGTCTGTGGATGTCTTTGTTGGTGAGGTGTGTTTCTTGTAGGCAGCAAATAGATGGTCTTCCTTTTTTAATCCATTCAGTCATTCTGTATCTTTTAATTGTAGAAATTAGGCCATTTACATTCAACATTATTATAGATCAGTTATGATTTGGTCCTGCTATTTTTTCCATAGGTATTCCTATAGTTGCTTTGGATTTTCTTTGTACTTTTACTAGGAGATTTTCTGCTTTCACATTCTTTCATAATGATGAGTTTCTCTGTTTCTGTGTATAGAACATCCTTATATCATTTGTAAGGCCTGAAGAGTGGTGACAAATTCTTCTATCTCTGTTTGTTTTGGAAGGTGCTTATTTCAACTTCATTTATAAATGAGAGCTTTGCTGGGCACAGTTTTCTAGGTTGATAACTTTTTTTTTCTTCTAGGACTTGGACTCTGTCTCTCCATTCTCTCCTATCCTGTAAGATTTCTGATGACAGATCGGCAGTTTGTTTAATTGGAGATCCTCTGAAAGTAATCTGGCACTTCTCTTGTGCACAGTCCTAAGTGGACACCCCACCCCCTGCCAACTCTCTCCATTTTGGATATTTCCCCTGTTCAACTTTGAAATTCTTTCATTTCTTGAAGAAATACATTATACTTTAAATGAACAAGTGATAACATAATGTATGTCAAACCTACTAATTTATAATCACTGTCATAATTTTAATCTCTATAGTGCTTACAGATCTGATTATGCAGTTTCCTATTTATGCAGTATCTCACTCATGATGACTTGGCTTATGTGCGTGCCTTGAAACTTTATGAGAATTTATTGAAGAGTGGCTACAGAGTTCAGAAAGAATTTGTGTTTACTTATGCCAAGTCCCTGGAGGTATTGCAAGGATGACTTTAAATTAGATTCTCAACTGGGATTTTAAAGGCTATATAGATAATATTAATTCTGACCTAAAGTCTAGATAAGGACAGGTTAGAAATTTTCCAAGATGCACTCTTTTTTAACTGAGCCACCCAGAGCCAAAGCTAAGTTAGCCAAGTTTTCCCACTACTTCCTGATGTGTGGGCTACTGTTTTTCTCATTCATACAAAAAGGTGTTCGAATTTTAAGAATTCTCAGCTTCATGCAACACCTCATATGTGACTTTCTAAGTGACAAGATACAAGCTTTGTCTCCTCAATTTATAATCTTTAAACCCTCAATATCCAGCCTACAAGCAAAAATAAAATTCCCCCATCATTCCTAGAACAATTCTGGTTCTTGTTCAATAGACTAGATTTATGTTTCCTTTGAATCTGACATCAACAAGAGTCCCTAATTCACCTATCATATTAACTATATATTTTTAATTTTTAACCACCTTTTTTAGTTCTTAGAGTTCACTATATTCCTAGAAAACAAACCATTTTTAAAAGTCATATTAAAGTACTTGAAGATATCAGTTGTGCTTCCTTTTTCTTTAGCTCTTAATGCTAATCTGATTGAAATATGTCTTATTTTCACTTTCAGAATATAAGAAGAATATACATATGTGCTACCTTATCACAGAAAATATACTGAGCACTATTTAGACAAGTTTCTGGTGATATCACTCACTGTAGATTCATGGCCCAGTAAAAAGCTAAACAAATTAGAGCAAAATATCCTCAAATACATACATTTCCATTTGGAGAAAGGAGAAAACAACAGAGGTAAGGGAAAATGATCTTCATTTCAATACTGCAAAATGACATGAGTATCCCTGCATTCATTTATTCCTTCATTGATATTTACCTAGCACTTGCTATGTTCAGACAATTATTTTAGGTGCTGAGGATATGACGATGCAACACTGAAAAAAGAATATGTAAGTGACAGTGTGTACAAGAATCTATAAAAGGAAGAATATAAGCAAATATACATGACAACTCTGAAAATAGGAAAACATTATGCAGATGTCCTTTGTTGTTACCATCCAGGCAAATCATGAGTACTGCAATTACAACTGCCTTTCCCCTCTGTGCAGGAGAAAATATATCTTTATGGATTTGGAGTTTTCAAAGAAATTTCCATTGGCAAAATTTCCTGTTTAATGACATTTTCAAAATCCTATTAATCTACAATTTGACACATCTCAACTTTTATTCAGTCTAATGCAGAAAAAAAATCCTATAATCCACACCAGTCTTTCCAATAAATAAACTTATTTAACCTTTATAATGCTCTAATTTAACTTCTATATCTGTTTTCATACCCACAACTAGCTGTGGGTTAGAATGAAAGATTTAACAAAAACTTCAGCATGGTATGTTGAGTAAGCACTTTGATACATTTCTACACTATAAACATTTAATGAGACTTGCTCCCAACAGAGTATTTACTACATCAATTTATTTTACAGTATTACATTTGCAGGAGCAAAAGAGAGCAAAGGTTATTATATATACTTTACCAATATAGTTTCCTGTAAATCATAAAATGTGTAGCATTTAATTTATAAAATCATTTAAAAGAAGTTAAATGTTCAATAAATTCTGCTTTATCTAGTTCAGAGATCCTCAGCAGCCATTTTTAACTTGGATATAAATGTATATAAAATTCAGGCATTTGTATTAGTGCGCACATGCCTATCTCTGACTAGAACTGAATATCAAATATTGTTAAGATAGCATAAGAATCTTAGGGAACTATCTCAAGAATTCCCTCCTGCCTTTTTCAGAAGAGAGGACTTCTCCTGAGAATGAGACTTCATTGCCATGCATGCCCACTTACACTGAGGATACTTGTATGTGCTCACGTGTGCACACACACACACACACATTCATTCTCCTCCACTCCAACCACTGACATTTCAGGCCTGTACCAGTCATTTTCAAGTAAAGTAATAAACAGAAGAAATTTTAGAAGAATAAATAATTTGGAGATCTTACGTCTTCTATAATCCTAAGAAAATAGAATGTAGAGTCTGAGATGAACTGGACTCTCATGGGAGCAGCCCCTGACACAATTTTTGTTTAGTACTGTTTAAAAATGTGGTAAACAATTGTACCCATCTACTCTAGAAAATTTCACCTCACCTTACTAGACACAACCTAGTATTCTGTCTGTTCATACGACTGAGTGATATAATCTTATTCACAAGGATGTAATCCAACCTTTTAGACTTGATTACATTTACAATTTTTTGCTAGTCCACATAAATTAAGACTCTTAGCATAAATTGTATTGAATTTTAATTAAGCACATTAGTTCTATTTGTACAAACCCAGTATAACACAGCAGTTAGAAATTCTAGAATCAGAATGTCTAGATTCACAACGTGGCTACATAGTCACTAGCTTTTTGACTTTACATCTGAGAGTTTTTTGTTTCTGTGAAACAAAAACACTAATACTTTACCTTACAGAGATACTATAATAATTAAGTGAATGATTCTTACTAAGTGGTTTCACAATTAAGAAATGTCATATGTCTAATGTATTTGGGAATCTAATACTCTACTAATATCTACTAGCATTTTTCAATGTTATGAAGATCTGCATGGATCTCCATTTCATCCAGAGGAAAAGCCAGGGTCCTTAAATTCCCTTCAAGAACTGGTCCCATTGGCTCTTTAACCACAGCTGCTATGAATCAGCCCCTCACTCCCTCTACCCAAGCACTTTGGCATCTACGTTGTTCCTTAGACATAGAGGATGCCTTCAAGCCTTTACTGAAGATCTTCATCCGACCAATTTCCTAACTTCCTTCAAGCCTTTGGCAGCATCTCACTTCCACTGTATAACATACTATACAACTTAGTTATTTACAATGTTTATTATTTTTGGTTTTTGTCTATATGCCCCTGCTAGAATGTCAGCCCTTGTTAAGGGTAGGAATAATATGTATTGAGACATATAGAACTATGTAAATAATACATATTTGTAGAATAAATAGATCTTTCATTTCATAAGTTTTTCTATGTAAAATAAGGCCATCGTATCAATCTAAAAAAAATCCCAATTTAAATTCATCGGCTTCTTTGCAGGGATGTAAAGTAATGAGAAGTCTACTAACAGAATATTTTCCTGTTTTCCATTCACTGGAAGACACAGAAGGTAAAAATAAAAACTGACTGAATAACTGTATTTTTATATTCTAATTTCCTAAACTCCAACACACATTTCTGAAAACCCACTTACTTTTATTTTTGTGCTGAGACATCAAATCACATTCTGTCTCTCTCTCTCTGGACTTACCTCCAGCTCTTCCAGGGCACTTCCCAGGGTTGCTGCCTGAGGTTCTTGAGGAGCAGGCGTGTTTTGAATGCCTTGGGAAGCATTTGAAATTACATTGAGGGCATTCTGAATTTCTTCACAAATTGTGTCCTTGCTTGCTTTGAGGGAAGCAACATCAGAATGTTCCAAACAAGCTGAACAAACTGAATGCAGGAGTGGGGAGTTCTCCTTCAATAAGGCCCGGGCTCCTGCAATTTCATCTCTCTGGTGTGGAGATTTTAAATCCTGAGAAGGGAAATAAAAAGAGTGCTTTCTTAACAATAGGTTATGGGATACCCACATAAAGAAGCTCCACTTTTCTGTCACTATAAATAAATAAAAAGGTAAAAGACACTAAGGAGGCAGCTATATCTCCCATACCATCAGATTCTGTTAAAAAGGAGACAATTTACAAGCAGGGTTTCAATGGCACAGATGCATGAAAACTGAGATCTTGCATTTATCAATCACATCCTTAAAAATCGCTAACATATTCTGGCATTCATATTATTAAGTTCATGATACAAGTTCTGAATAACAAGAATACAGATAATTTTTCCCATAGATGCTGAGAATTACATTTAACCTCATTATTTAAATTAAACGAAGTGTGTTAAGAACGTTAAATTAAAATTTCTACCACTCAGGTATTTTTCTTCTATTTTTCTGAAATACTAATAAAAATAAGGGGATTTTCTTTCCATTGATAATTATTCAATAAATAGTTACTGAGCACTTAGTATATGCCAGCCCTTTTGATAGATGCTAAATGTACAAATATGAACAATTCTTTTTTATATATTTTATTTTATTTAATGAACATAAATTTCCAAAGTACAGCTTATAGATTACAATAGCTTCCCCCCACAACTTCCCTCCCACCCACAACACTCCCCTCTCCCACTCCCATTCCCCTTCCATTCACATCAAGATTAATTTTCAATTATCTTTATATACAGAAGATCAATTTAGCATATATTAAGTAAAGATTAAAACAGTTTGCACCCACACAGAAACACAAAGTGTGAAATACTATTTGAGTACTAGTTATAGCATTAATTAAACACCTAAGAGTAATTGTGTATTAATTACAGAGTTCAACCAATAGCTTTAAGTAGAACATAAAAAATACTAAAAGGGTAAAGTATTAAGTTCTTTGTTATATAGTTATTTTTTTATTTAATAAATGTGAATTTACAAAGTGCAACTTTTGTATTGTTGTGGCTTCCCCCCAACAACCTCCCTCCCTCCCGTGGTCTTCCCCTCTTCCACTCCCTCTCCCATCCCGCCCTTCATCGAGTTTCATTTTCTATTACCCAAATATGAACAATTCTATAAAGACCTTGGTCTGATAAAACTTATGTTCTTGTTAGGGTCTGTGTTGGGGGGTCACTATGGGTAATAAACTAAGCAAACTAAACACAAGATAATTTGACTTAATTCTGTGTGCTTTGAAGAAAATACAAAAGTAAAATGTCTTAGAGATAGGCTTCATATAGTAAATCTGTTTAAGCTTGTCTGTGAGATGACAATTTGAAGTAAATATAAATGAAAAGCTTTACAAACAGAGGGAAGAGAGAGTCCCAGCTAAGTGACAGCTGCTCAAAACTATCACTATGATACAATGAAAAAACCTGGCAAGCACTACCTAACCATGTGATGAAGGTTAACAGCATCAGTGATGTCCACGGATATTATGTACCTCTTGATATACTGTGGCAAGAATAACAGGTCATTTCTATGGCAAACTTTCCGTAAACCCATAACTCCGGTCCAGTGAAGTGAAAAACAATGCACAAAGCCAGATTGGTAGAGATGTTAGATGATACAGGAGCAGTATTACTCAAGGCCATTAAGGTAATGAAAAATAAGACTAAATAATAAATTGTCACAAACTAGAAGAGACTATGGAGATATATAACAACCAAGTGCAGTGTGATACACTAGATTAGCGGATTCTAGAACAGACAGCAGATATTCATGAAAACGACTGGTGAAATCCTAGTGAAGCTTACTGATAGCTAAGAGTAATGTGTCAGTGTTCATTTCTTTGTTCCAGCAAACAATAACAATGGAAGAAACTGAGAGAAAGGTAGATGGAAACTCACTGTACTATATTTGGAACTTGAAATCTAAAATTATTCCCAAATAGTTTATTTAAAAAACAAGCTAATCCGGCCGTTGAGGCCATCTGGGGAGTGAACCATTGGATGGAAGATCTCTCTCTCTCTCTCTCTCTCTCTGCCTCTCCTCTCTCTATGTAACTCTTTCAAATAAATAAATAAATCTTTAAAAAAAAAACCAAGCTAAATCAACTGACATTTACAATAGTTCACATACTTCATATACATTATCCAAGTGATAGATTCAGATGGTGATTTTTCTTGCATTGTAACTCAAGTCAGTATGACTCCTAAGCCCTCATCCTAACTATGTTACATTCTTTCATTCTTTCCCATGTAGGATTTCCTTTATTTGCAATATAGCAAATACTTGTATTTGTATAATACCACATGGTTTATGAAATGCTTCTACGTAACATCTTACATGTCATCAGAACACCCTTTGGCGAAATAAGGTTGATAATATGAGCCCCATTTTATCTAAATAGGTTTTAGTATACATATATTAAGAATCAAGTAAAAGAGTTGAGATTTACACATACATCTTTGTATTGCAAACTCTATGCTTTTTTCACAAGACTCCAATATCTCAGGATAATGTTGTAGGAGGTGATAAGTGGTGCGTGCCTCTGTGTTTTTAGTTCCTTCTCTTTTGAAAATAAAGGCTGTCTACTACTTTATGCAGAGTTTGGGAGTATTCACTTCTTTACATAATGTAGGAAGGACAGTTAGAAATAGCTGCCAACCCCCTGTTCTTACTCACTAATTACGAAAGAAAAGATCCTCTGTAGCTCCATTGGCTCACAACGATTTTCTGCTTTCTGACTTGAATTCTCGTTTCAGCTCTGCCACACCATTATGATCTGGGGAAGTCATTTATTCTTTGGGTGATGCTTTTACCATTTATAAAAAATGAGGATGATGACATTTTTGCCAATTCTCTTACAAAACTGAGTACACATGGGGCCAGCATTGTGGCATAATGGGTTGTTAGGTTACTGCCAGTGGCTCTGGCATCCCATATGGGTGCCTCTTTTGAGTCCTGGCTGCTCCACTTCTGATCCAGCTCCCTGCTACTATGCCTGGCAAAGCAGCCTCTGTAAACTGCTGGCTCCTGGCTTCACTCTGGCCTAGCCCCATTACAGCCATTTGGGGAGTGAACCAGTGGATGGAAGATCTCTATCTTCCCCCAATCCCATAGCTCTGCCTTTCACATAAATAAAATAAATTTTAAAAAAACCTGAGTACTCAGCACATTGGAAATGGAATATATGTAGAAAACAGTAGACTTACAGAAAAAAATGAAATTATTTTATTCCTTAGATTTATCAAACTTGGTACATACAGTTTTGTCCTGTGATTGTCTTAGTGATTTTCATATCCCCTACAATTTCACAGTACTATCTAAACTTATCATAGTGCTACTTAGAAGATAAATAATTTAATGTTCAGAAAGGATATACAGCCTCTAAGAGGGATCATAATAAAAAGTACAAATATTCAGAACGAACTGAAGAAAATTTTCTGTATCTCACAGTATAATCACAAGTGATTACACAGTTCGCTCTAAAGTGACCCTTACATAATGCTTTTTTATTTAGAGTAGCAGTGTCAAAGTTTAGCTAGATTCTGAGAGGTAAAATACTGTGAACATGAATTACGACAAAAAAGGCTAAAGTTCGAAAAGTATTTATTTTGCTTTGATGGTGGCCAAGTATATTTTACTGTAAACTGTAGCAAAGTTAAAGCAGGAGGGACTTTGGAATTTTTAAAATGTAAACATATTTTGACTTTTGAGCCTATGCTTTTTCATCACTGCCAAAAGAAATACAGATTCCTTAAAGAGCACTAATACCCCCTAAATAGCAAGCCTTGGAAACTTGCAAGAAATGACCAGATCAGTGAACATTCAAAAATGACATATTGTACCCATGGGGGAAAAAGGGCAAGCTGCAGAGTTTAGGCAGGAAGAACTGAGGAAAGAACATTTCTCCCAAAATACATCATAAATGACAGTAGTAAATAGGCAAATTCTCCTAACAAAATGTTGTTATAGGGAGGTCTCTGGTTTGGCTTGTTTTGTTTTAAAAGATGATACAATGGGGGTCGGCGCGTGGCACACTAGGTTAATCCTCCACCTGTGGCACCCGCATCCCATGTGGGCGCCGGTTCTGGTCTTGGTTGCTCCTCTTCCAGTCCAGCTCTCTGCTGTGACCTGGGAAAGCAGTGGAGGATGGCCCAAGTGCTTGGGCCCTGCACCCACATGGGAGACCAGAAAGAAGCACCTGGCTCCTGGCTTCCGATTGGCGTAACTCCAGCCTTGCCGCCATTTGGGGAGTGAACCAACGGAGGGAAGACCTTTCTCTCTGTCTCTCTCTCTCTCTCTCTCTCTCTCTCTTACTGTCTGTAACTCCACCTGTCAAATAAATAAATAAAATCTTAAAAAAAAAAAAAAGATGGTACAACGGCTCAGAGGTTCACAGGTTGTCTATTTATCCTAAAATTCTGAGATTTCGGATAGACTTATTGGAATTTACAAGACATACAACATAACAAAAAGTGTTGCTGTCAATCCAAAAGAAATTGCATCTAAAGGACTGTGTTGAATTTATTCATACTGAAGACTTCAAATCAAGTTGGTATACATTCAGTGTGTTATTTTCTATTTGTAATGAATTGTATATAAACTGCATCATACATTTGTTTTATGGTTAAATAAAATATTCTCTGAAAAAAAAAAATTCTAACCCAAATCAAAAAAAAAAAAAAAAAAAAGGAATTTAATGGTAGAGTTAATTAGGGGAGCTCTGGATGGGCAAATGTAAAGAATTCAGCTACTCAACACCCGTTAATTATTTAATATCTTTTTTTAAAATGTGCCAGAAGTAAAAGCTCACATGAGATTTCTGAAATAAGGAGACATTAAATCCTTCCAGCTGATGAAGAAACACACAGATGGGATTTAAAAAGAAGACCTTACAAGTCTGTGAAAGTGGGTAGAGAAGCAACATATGAGTTTTAACCCTGGCAAGAGAACAAAATATATTTAGGAATTTTAAAGATCATGAAATACAAAAATCGGAGAACTCCAAACTATCAGTTAATTAATTCAACCATTCATGC